GCGGATTAAGGCGCCCTGTAGTTACCAGTTGCGTTGCTTCTGGGAGTATGGGTTCGAGTCACTTCTGGGGTGTGAGTTTTCATTCGCATATAGTCCTGGGGACCATTCAGGCTTGTTCGCATTTGTGTTCCTCACGTGTGCCCCAAAGAATGAGGTGATTTGGTGAAATGCTATGCCCAAGATTACCATCCGAGTTGCCGTCGGGGAAGTGGCTCAAATAGCCTCGGCTATCACTTCCTTTTGACGGCCGTGATGGTCAAGCGGATTAAGGCGCCCTGTAGTTACCAGTTGCGTTGCTTCTGGGAGTATGGGTTCGAGTCACTTCTGGGGTGTGAGTTTTCATTCGCATATAGTCCTGGGGACCATTCAGGCTTGTTCGCATTTGTGTTCCTCACGTGTGCCCCAAAGAATGAGGTGATTTGGTGAAATGCTATGCCCAAGATTACCATCCGAGTTGCCGTCGGGGAAGTGGCTCAAATAGCCTCGGCTATCACTTCCTTTTGACGGCCGTGATGGTCAAGCGGATTAAGGCGCCCTGTAGTTACCAGTTGCGTTGCTTCTGGGAGTATGGGTTCGAGTCACTTCTGGGGTGTGAGTTTTCATTCGCATATAGTCCTGGGGACCATTCAGGCTTGTTCGCATTTGTGTTCCTCACATGTGCCCCAAAGAATGAGGTGATTTGGTGAAATGCTATGCCCAAGTTTACCATCCGAGTTGCCGTCGGGGAAGTGGCTCAAATAGCCTCGGCTATCACTTCCTTTTGACGGCCGTGATGGTCAAGCGGATTAAGGCGCCCTGTAGTTACCAGTTGCGTTGCTTCTGGGAGTATGGGTTCGAGTCACTTCTGGGGTGTGAGTTTTCATTCGCATATAGTCCTGGGGACCATTCAGGCTTGTTCGCATTTGTGTTCCTCACGTGTGCCCCAAAGAATGAGGTGATTTGGTGAAATGCTATGCCCAAGATTACCATCCGAGTTGCCGTCGGGGAAGTGGCTCAAATAGCCTCGGCTATCACTTCCTTTTGACGGCCGTGATGGTCAAGCGGATTAAGGCGCCCTGTAGTTACCAGTTGCGTTGCTTCTGGGAGTATGGGTTCGAGTCACTTCTGGGGTGTGAGTTTTCATTCGCATATAGTCCTGGGGACCATTCAGGCTTGTTCGCATATATATATATATATATATATATATATATATATATATATATATATATATATATATATATATATATATATATATATTATTAAATATGACCGAAAAAGTAAGATTAATAATTCTAACACGAATTTTGAGTGAGGTGGAAGGGGTGATGTGGCATTAACACAAGACAGAACAAAATGTGGTATTAATAGGGTATTAATTTCATCAACACAAGACAGAACAAGAGTATTAATAGGGTATTAAAGCCATGCAACCTCTGAAGAGACAACTAACACAACACCTATACCCCCTATTAGACTATTTTACAGGAACTTCTTTTCCACAGCTCATAAAACGGAGGAAAGGGTCCTGAAAGATATTGTAATAGAAACGTTATCCCTACAGACAAAAATCAGAGGATACAACTGACGATTTACTATAAAACCAGAAAAACGGCCAGCCTACTCATGAGAAACTCTCCAGACACAAAACAGAACGCTTTAAAAGAGACTAACGTCGTCTATGCCTTCAAATGCCCACTTGGGGACTGTAAGCTCCAAAAAAAACAGTATATAGGCAAGACAACAACATCTCTTTCTAGGCGTTTAACGATGCATAAGCAACAGGGCTCCATTAAGGAACATATAATCTCTTCCCACAACCAAACCATCGCCAGAGAAATCCTAGTAAACAACACAGAAATCATCGATAGATACAGCGATAGCAGGCGGCTTGACGTTTGCGAGGCACTACACATCAAGAAGTCAACACCAGAAATCAACAGCCAATTATTGCACAACTATATTCTACCCACCTCAAGACTCCGCTCCAATATAGAAGCATCAAGAAATATGGACCAATAGGCTTTCTACAAACACTTCTATTCAATATCCATTGTTTCGTGTTCTGTCTTGTGTTGATGAAATTAATACCCTATTAATACTCTTGTTCTGTCTTGTGTTGATGAAATTAATACCCTATTAATACCACATTTTGTTCTGTCTTGTGTTAATGCCACATCACCCCTTCCACCTCACTCAAATGTAGATATAAAATCGGAGATACGTAAGTTCTATTCAGTTGTGTATTTGTGAACTAAAGTCTTTGAAAATGTAATAAGTTTTACGAAACGCGCCCGTGTCGCGTCAGACTAGAAATAAAAATGAATTTTGGAGAATTGATTTTTGATTTACCTCCAACAGTGAAGCGTAATGTACGAAAGATTGAGAAAATTCGTGTTAGAATTATTAATCTTACTTTTTCGGTCATATTTAATAATATATGTCTACAGGAAAGACTGCTACCAAAATATACTAATATAACTCTCTCTCTCTCTCTCTCTATATATATATATATAGAGAGAGAGAGACATAGAGACAGATATATATATATATATATATATATATATATATATATATATATATATATATATATATATATATATATATTATATAGATTTATATATATATATATATATATATGAAAAGCCATGCAACCTCTGAAGAGACAACTAACACAACACCTATACCCCCTATTAGACTATTTTACAGGAACTTCTTTTCCACAGCTCATAAAACAGAGGAAAGGGTCCTGAAAGATATTGTTAATAGAAACGTTATCCCTACAGACAAAAATCAGAGGATACAACTGACGATTTACTATAAAACCAGAAAAACGGCCAGCCTACTCATGAGAAACTCTCCAGACACGAAACAGAACGCTTTAAAAGAGACTAACGTCGTCTATGCCTTCAAATGCCCACTTGGGGACTGTAAGCTCCAAAAAACCCAGTATATAGGCAAGACAACAACATCTCTTTCTAGGCGTTTAACGATGCATAAACAACAGGGCTCCATTAAGGAACATATAATCTCTTCCCATAACCAAACCATCGCCAGAGAAATCCTAGTAAACAACACAGAAATCATCGATAGATACAGCGATAGCAGGCGGCTTGACGTTTGCGAGGCACTACACATCAAGAAGTCAACACCAGCAATCAACAGCCAATTATTGCACAACTATATTCTACCCACCTCAAGACTCCGCTCCAATATAGAAGCATCAAGAAATATGGACCAATAGGCTTTCTTCAAACACTTCTATTCAATATCCATTGTTTCGTGTTCTGTCTTGTGTTGATACTTTTAATACCCTATTAATATCCTCTAATGCCACATCATCCTTCCCACCTCACTCAAATGTAATGCTACATCACCCTTCCCACCTCACTCAAAAGTAGATATAAAATCAGGGAAATGCAAGTTCTAATCAGTTATATATATATATATATATATATATATATATATATATATATATATATATATATATATATATATATATATATATATATATATATATATAGATATAGATACATATGTATATATAAAAGATGCGTTCTTACATTCTTGTAAAGCCACTAGCACGCTAAGCGTTTCAGCGAGGTCCTTAGCTATATTTTCCATGGAATACGACCCGTCAAATCGTTTAACAATCACGTACACATCACTGCTGAGTGATCAGAGGCGTTCAGTTAATGATTGGCGCCCAGTCAATCTTTCCCGGCCAGGATACGAACCCAGGCCAAATCGCTCGCGGAGCGCCGGTCCAGTGTTACAAGTGATTAATTGATCTTACTTTTTCGGTCATATATAACAAAATATAAAGAAGGAGTATACCTGAAGTGGGTTACTGGAGTGAAGACTAAGCCACACACCAGAAAATGAGGAGACAACGACGTGTTACGGTCCGTCCTGGGTCATTATCAGTCGAGTGTGGGGGGTTACTGGAGTACTTCTACGCCCAAAGACTGACATGGGGGCTAGGCTTGACTTGTGATAACTTGATCCAACAGGTTGTTGCTTGCAGCGCCTCGCAGACCCACATATTAACCTGGCTGGTCCAGCGCTTCTTGCAGGAAACTGTGTAATTATTTCTCGAAGAAGTTCTTACGCTTGCTGGAAGGGGTAATAAATAGCGGAGGATCTCTGATGGTCATACAGTGTTCCCGGTACCAACGACACCTGTACTTGTCACAAGTTCTATTCTGCATTTCCTTCCGTATCTTCCCCTTCAGTATGTTATTATTTTACTGTACAAAATTTGGAACCTGGCCCTCCAGTATCTTCCATTTATGTATTAGTTATTACTTCTCTCGTCTCCTTTCCAGAGAATACATTTTGAAAGCTGTGAGATTGAAATTGAAATTGAAATTGAAATAAGTTTATTGAGGTAAAATATACACAAAGGGATGAGGTAGCTCAAGCTATTCTCACCCCATTCAGTACAACGTGTTAATACATACATAGACACACATCACAAACAATAAACCTGTTACCAAACATTCTGAGAGATAAACATATACATTTCCTCCTTCACAAGATGATCCCATTTTTAGACGCTTTATCGTGTCTATGCTTGCCGTATATGTTCTCCGTATTCCCTCTATTTCAGCAATGTGATCTCCCGCTCTGAAGGGGGAAGTGAATATCGAGCAGTACTCGAGACGGGACACTACCAGTGATTTGAATATTATGAGCATTACGGTGAGATCCCTGGACTTGAAGGTTCTCATAGTCTACCCTCTCTCACCCTGGCTGACGCTATGGTTGCTTGGTTAGGTTCACTAAATGTTATAGTGCATGACACCATTATTCCCAGACTTTACATTTGATGGTGTCTTCTACCTTGAATTTGGTTGAGTTGTTCATTTTTACTATCCTTAAGAGGGGAGAGGGAGAAAAAGAGAGAGGGGAAAGAGGGGAGGGAGAGAGAGAGAGCGAGGGAAAAGAGGGGAGGGAGAGGGACGGAGGGAGGGAGAGAGGGGGAGTGAGAGGGGCGAGGTGTGAGCGTAGTCAGTAGCGCTCTAGCAGTGGTAAGAGAAGGACGTGCGGGGAGGGTGCGCGACGGCCAGTATGACGGGCGGTCCCACGCTGGCCCCACTGAGGGCCACCGGGTCCCACGTTGGTCCCACTGAGGGCCACCAGGTCCCACTGAGGGCCACCGGGTCCCACTGAGGGCCACCAGGTCCCACTGAGGGCCACCGGGTCCCACTGAGGGCCACCAGGTCCCACTGAGGGCCACCGGGTCCCACTGAGGGCCACCAGGTCCCACGTTGGCCCCACTGAGGGCCACCAGGTCCCACGTTGGCCCCACTGAGGGCCACCGGGTCCCACTGAGGGCCACCAGGTCCCACTGAGGGCCACCGGGTCCCACTGAGGGCCACCAGGTCCCACGTTGGCCCCACTGAGGGCCACCAGGTCCCACGTTGGCCCCACTGAGGGCCACCAGGTCCCACGTTGGCCCCACTGAGGGCCACCAGGTCCCACGTTGGCCCCACTGAGGGCCACCAGGTCCCACGTTGGCCCCACTGAGGGCCACCAGGTCCCACGTTGGCCCCACTGAGGGCCACCAGGTCCCACGTTGGCCCCACTGAGGGCCACCAGGTCCCACGTTGGCCCCACTGAGGGCCACCAGGTCCCACGTTGGCCCCACTGAGGGCCACCAGGTCCCACACTGGCCCCACTGAGGGCCACCAGGTCCCACGTTGGCCCCACTGAGGGCCACCAGGTCCCACGCTGGCCCCACTGAGGGCTACCAGGTCCCACGTTGGCCCCACTGAGGGCCACCAGGTCCCACGTTGGCCCCACTGAGGGCCACCAGGTCCCACGTTGGCCCCACTGAGGGCCACCAGGTCCCACGTTGGCCCCACTGAGGGCCACCAGGTCCCACGTTGGCCCCACTGAGGGCCACCGGGTCCCACGTTGGCCCCACTGAGGGCCACCGGGTCCCACGTTGGCCCCACTGAGGGCCACCAAGTACCACGTTGGCCCCATCGAGGGCCACAAGGTACCACACTGGCTACACTGAGGGCCACCAGGTACCCACTGGCCCCACTGAGGGCCACCAAGTACCACGCTGGCCCCACTGAGGGCCACACTGGCCACACTGAGGGCCACCAAGTACCACGCTGGCCCCACTGAGGGCCACCAAGTACCACGCTGGCCCCACTGAGGGCCACACTGGCTACACTGAGGGCCACCAGGTACCCACTGGCCCCACTGAGGGCCACCAAGTACCACACTGGCCCCACTGAGGGCCACGAGGGCCAAACCAAGCAGAGAGCCACCTCCGTCTCACCCTCCTCAAGATAAAACAACATAAACCTTCCCATCACAGTGATTATTAACACATTACATTCCCAAAATACACATATATGAAAAATATGGGATGGTTAAAATTAACGAAACAAACTGTAGATTATTATTTTATCTGCTGTAGCGTACTAACAAAAATATTAACTATGTATAATGAAAATACAAATAACTTTCACTTTAACATTAATTATTTTTATTATTAACAATGACAAACTAAGGATTTATTTGGACTATATCAATCCTCTATTTTATATGAAATTATAAAATAATTTCTTATTAACTACAACACTATTTTGTTGTTGATAATTAAACATTTCTTTTACAGCTTCCTTAAGTGGGTGCTACTGGGGACCTGGGCACACACAGGTACACTCCTGGGGACCTGGGCACACACAGGTACACTCCTGGGGACCTGGGCACACACAGGTACACTCCTGGGGACCTAGGGACACACAGGTACACTCCTGGGGACCTAGGGACACAGGTACACTCCTGAGGACCTAGGGACACAGGTACACTCCTGGGGACCTAGGGACACAGGTACACTCCTGGGGACCTGGGCACACACAGGTACACTCCTGGGGACCTGGGCACACACAGGTACACTCCTGGGGACCTGGGCACACACAGGTACACTCCTGGGGACCTGGGCACACACAGGTACACTCCTGGGGACCTGGGCACACACAGGTACACTCCTGGGGACCTGGGCACACACAGGTACACTCCTGGGGACCTGGGCACACACAGGTACACTCCTGGGGACCTGGGCACACACAGGTACACTCCTGGGGACCTGGGCACACACAGGTACACTCCTGGGGACCTAGGGACACAGGTACACTCCTGGGGACCCGGGCACACACAGGTACACTCCTGGGGACCTGGGCACACACAGGTACACTCCTGGGGACCTGGGCACACACAGGTACACTCCTGGGGACCTAGGGACACAGGTACACTCCTGGGGACCTGGGCACACACAGGTACACTCCTGGGGACCTGGGCACACACAGGTACACTCCTGGGGACCTGGGCACACACAGGTACACTCCTGGGGACCTGGGCACACACAGGTACACTCCTGGGGACCTGGGCACACACAGGTACACTCCTGGGGACCTGGGCACATACAGGTACACTCCTGGGGACCTGGGCACACACAGGTACACTCCTGGGGACCTAGGGACACACAGGTACACTCCTGGGGACCTGGGCACACACAGGTACACTCCTGGGGACCTAGGGACACACAGGTACACTCCTGGGGACCTGAGCACACACAGGTACACTCCTGGGGACCTAGGGACACACAGGTACACTCCTGGGGACCTGGGTACACACAGGTACACTCCTGGGGACCTAGGGACACAGGTACACTCCTAGGGACCTGGGCACACACAGGTACACTCCTGGGGACCTAGGGACACAGGTACACTCCTGGGGACCTGGGCACACACAGGTACACTCCTGGGGACCTGGGCACACACAGGTACACTCCTGGGGACCTGGGCACACACAGGTACACTCCTGGGGACCTAGGGACACAGGTACACTCCTGGGGACCTGGGCACACACAGGTACACTCCTGGGGACCCGGGCACACACAGGTACACTCCTGGGGACCTGGGCACACACAGGTACACTCCTGGGGACCTAGGGACACACAGGTACACTCCTGGGGACCTAGGGACACACAGGTACACTCCTGGAGACCTGGGCACACACAGGTACACTCCTGGGGACCTAGGGACACACAGGTACACTCCTGGGGACCTGGGCACACACAGGTACACTCCTGGGGACCTAGAGACACACAGGTACACTCCTGGGGACCTGGGCACACACAGGTACACTCCTGGGGACCTAGGGACACAGGTACACTCCTGGGGACCTAGGGACACACAGGTACACTCCTGGGGACCTAGGGACACAGGTACACTCCTGGGGACCTGGGTACACACAGGTACACTCCTGGGGACCTAGGGACACACAGGCACACTCCTGGGGACCTGGGCACACACAGGTACACTCCTGGGGACCTAGGCACACACAGGTACACTCCTGGGGACCTGGGCACACACAGGTACACTCCTGGGGACCTAGGCACACACAGGTACACTCCTGGGGACCTGGGTACACACAGGTACACTTCTGGGGACCTGAGCACACACTGGTACACTCCTGGGAACCTGAGCACACACTGGTACACTCCTGGGGACCTGAGCACACACTGGTACACTCCTGGGGACCTGAGCACACACTGGTACACTCCTGGGGACCTGAGCACACACAGGTACACTCCTGGAGACTTGGGCACACACAGGTACACTCCTGGGGACCTAGGGACACACAGGTACACTCCTGGGGACCTGGGTACACACAGGTACACTTCTGGGGACCTGAGCACACACTGGTACACTCCTGGGGACCTGAGCACACACTGGTACACTCCTGGGGACCTGAGCACACACAGGTACACTCCTGGAGACTTGGGCACACACAGGTACACTCCTGGGGACCTGAGCACACACTGGTACACTCCTGGGGACCTGAGCACACACTGGTACACTCCTGGGGACCTGAGCACACACGGGTACACTCCTGGGGACCTGAGCACACACAGGTACATTCCTGGAGACTTGGGCACACACTGGTACACTCCTGGGTACCTGGGCACACACAGGTACACTCCTGGAGACTTGGGCACACACTGGTACACTCCTGGGGACCTGAGCACACACAGGTACACTCCTGGGGACCTGAGCACACACTGGTACACTCCTGGGGACCTGGGCACACACAGGTACACTCCTGGGGACCTGAGCACACAATGGTACACTCCTGGGGACCTGAGCACACACGGGTACACTCCTGGGGACCTGAGCACACACAGGTACATTCCTGGAGACTTGGGCACACACTGGTACACTCCTGGGTACCTGGGCACACACAGGTACACTCCTGGAGACTTGGGCACACACTGGTACACTCCTGGGGACCTGAGCACACACAGGTACACTCCTGGGGACCTGAGCACACACAGGTACACTCCTGGAGACTTGGGCACACACTGGTACACTCCTGGGGACCTGGGCACACACAGGTACATTCCTGGGGACCTGGGCATACACAGGTACTCTCCTGGGGACCTGAGCACAGACAGGTACACTCCTGGGGACCTGGGCACACACAGGTACACTCCTGGGGACCTGGGCACACACTGGTTCACTCCTGGGGACATGGGCACACACAGGTACGTTCCTGGGGACCTGGGCATACACAGGTACACTCCTGGGGACCTGGGCACACACAGGTACACTTCTGGGGACCTGGGCACACACAGGTACACTCCTGGGGACCTAGGCACACACAGGTACACTCCTGGGGACCTGGGCACACACAGGTACACTCCTGGAGACCTGAGCACACACGGGTACACTCCTGGGGACCTGAGCACACACAGGTACACTCCTGGAGACTTGGGCACACACTGGTACACTCCTGGAGACTTGGGCACACACTGGTACACTCCTGGGGACCTGGGCACACACAGGTACATTCCTGGGGACCTGGGCATACACAGGTACACTCCTGGGGACCTGGGCACACACAAGTACACTTCTGGGGACCTGGGCACACACAGGTACACTCCTGGGGACCTGGGCACACACAGGTACACTCCTGGAGACCTGGGCACACACAGGTACACTCCTGGGGACCCGGGCACACACAGGTACACTTCTGGGGACCTGGGCATACACAGGTACACTCCTGGGGACCTGGGCATACACAGGTACACTCCTGGGGACCTGGGCATACACAGGTACACTCCTGGGGACCCGGGCACACACAGGTACACTCCTGGGGACCTGGGCACACACAGGTACACTCCTGGAGACCTGAGCACACACGGGTACACTCCTGGGGACCTGAGCACACACAGGTACACTCCTGGAGACTTGGGCACACACTGGTACACTCCTGGAGACTTGGGCACACACTGGTACACTCCTGGGGGACCTGAGCACACACAGGTACACTCCTGGGGACCTGAGCACACACAGGTACACTCCTGGAGACTTGGGCACACACTGGTACACTCCTGGGGACCTGGGCACACACAGGTACACTCCTGGGGACCTGGGCACACACTGGTTCACTGCTGGGGACCTGGGCACACACAGGTACACTCCTGGGGACCTGGGCACACACAGGTACACTCCTGGGGACCTGGGCACACACTGGTTCACTGCTGGGGACCTGGGCACACACAGGTACACTCCTGGGGACCTGGGCACACACAGGTACACTCCTGGGGACCTGAGCACACACAGGTACACTCCTGGGGACCTGGGCACACACTGGTTCACTGCTGGGGACATGGGCACACAGGTATGTGTGTAAGAATTATGGAATTCGAACACTGTTTCAGTGTGCCCACGAATTCCGTTTATAGAAAAACCAAATTCCCCACATAAAACATTTTCAGCATACACTTTTTATATTTTAAACCAACTCTTTTTATTACATTAACGTTATAACTTGAGAATAATCGGTTTACGACAAAGGTTTATTGTGCCAGTTTACATGTAGACTGTTACTGGAGGCAATCTTGAGATGATTTCGAGGCTTTAGTGTCCCCGCGGCCCGGTCCTCGACCAGGCCTCCACCCCCCAGGAAGCAGCCCGTGACAGCTGACTGACACCCAGGTACCTATTTTACTGCTAGGTAACAGGGGCATAGGGTGAAAGAAACTCTGCCCATTGTTTCTCGCCGGCGCCCGGGATCGAACCCGGGACCACAGGTTCACAAGTCCAGTGTGTTGTCCGCTCGGCCGACCGGCTCCCTGGAGCCGTAATATACTTTCAGACAATCACAAATATCTAGATAACTCTCCAGGGTTTGGGGAGGATGTGGCGCCTTTTGGTAATAATGGAATTGTTGTGAAGACTTTGCCTGAAGACTTGATCACAGACGGGAACACTCCATTTATCAGTAACCAATTACAAATAAC